CCGATGTCACCGCTCTTCGTCGCGTCGCCTGAACGGAGTTGCTCGCCGGAGAAGAAGAACCCAAGTGGGGGGTGGCCGGCGGCTTCAACAAGAGAGGGAAAGGGAGGAAGAAGAAGAGGGAAGAACAAGGGCTAGGGTTTTTTTCTTTGTTTTAAAACTTTAACCCCCTTTGGGCTTGGGGTTCTTTTCCTTTTGTTTAAGGCCCACTTACCCAACCCCTCCTTGTTAAAACAAGCCAATAATATAATTTCGTAAATGGCCCAATGGCCCAAACAAGTGTCATATAGCGGAATCCGTACTGAACCATAACTTGATAAATAACTACACGCTACTAACTCACCACTAATTCTGTAACAATACACACCAGCGGAGATGCCACACTTAAATTAAATAAAGATAACTGATGACTCAAATAAAATAAAATGAACTAAATAAATAAATAACTAAATCCAATCTATTTTGTTATAAAAATTTCCCGGAACTCGAGGCAAGCTAACCTGAGTAACGCGGGGCGTTACAGACTTCCCCCCTTCAAAAACTTTCGTCCTCGAAAGTTCGTTGCTCGAACAATTCAGGATAATGGGCCCTGATTTCGTCTTCTCTCTCCCAAGTAGCCTCTTCTATTTGGTGGTTCCTCCACAAGACCTTCACCAAGTCAATCACCCGGTTCCGCAGCACTTTGGTCTCTCTCGCTACGATCCCAATGGGTACTTCTTTATAGCACAAAGTTTCATCTACCTGCAGTGGTTCGTAATCCAAGACGTGGGAAGGGTCATGGACGTATTTCCTCAACATGGACACGTGGAACACGTTATGCACTGCACTCAACGACGGTGGCAGAGCCAACCGGTAAGCGACCGGGCCGATGCGCTCCAAGATCTCAAAAGGACCAATAAATCTTGGACTGAGTTTTCCCTTCTTACCAAAACGTAGGACTCCCTTCACCGGTGCCACACAAAGGAAAACGTGGTCACCGACATCAAATTCCAATGCTCTTCGCCTAACATCAGCGTAACTCTTCTGTCTGCTTTGGGTCGTCTGCATTCTTGCTCTAATCTTTTGGATGGCGCCATTAGTTTCTTGTACCAATTCTGGTCCTAACAGGACTCTCTCACCGACCTCATCCCAATGCACCGACGACCTACACTTTCTCCCATATAACGCTTCATATGGGGCCATGTCAATGGTCGCCTAATAACTGTTGTTGTCTGCAAACTCTGCTAAGTACTTGTCCCAAGAACCACCGAAATCCAATGTGCAAGCCCTCAACATATCATCCAGAACATAGGGAGGTTGTGCCAGGGTGAAACGAGGCGAGCATGGAACTCACAGTATAAACTTACACGGAGAACGTGAGGGAAAAAATATATATTTATATACCGCATATATCATATATACTTGGTATATTTTATATATACCTAATCCTCTCACTTGGTATTTTAAAACTAGGGTTTATTACTTAGGTAAAATCCAGCTAAATGATATTGTCTAAGTTTATTAGTTTTCCCAATATAACTTTTAAATTGGGTTTGTTTAACATCAACGTGTTAGTTCATTATTAAACACTTGAACGAACTAACCACATCACTGCATGCTATAAAATATTGACTAACTGAACCCCCAGGTCGATTCCCAACCTAAACAGAACCTTCATTATATATGATTCTCTTTTAGGCAATATTTTATATTAACCTTTTATTTCATCTTTTTAAACCTATGTAAAACCAATAATAAAAAGTATATAACCTAAGGTATAATCAATTTCAAACCTCTTTAAAATTAATTATTACAGTCATAGGGTTCATGCAACTATTGATTATAGACTTTAATTTCTATTTACCTAACTTATAACAGTTATAAATTGAGAGAAATTAAAACTATAATCATGCATCAATGACATACATAAGTATAACATTTATATTTATTAAAGTAATGTCATGTTCAATGCAACTTTATTTTCATCTAATAAATACAACACTCATATTAATCAATTATGAAAATAAATCATGATAGCATACATTACGACTATTATATACATATGATGCATGAACATGCTTAACTTATTGTGGCATTTTAAATTATATGACATACTCTTATGTAACATATCTTTAATTAAACATACATTCACAATGCATAATAATTAAACAGCAAAATCTACTAGTTTTTAGAATCCTATAAGAAATTAAACAAAAACAAAAATTATCCTAGTGCCTAGGTGCTGCCCCACTGCAATGCCTCGAGTTGATCTCGGTAAAAGGGTGCACACTACTTAGGTGTCACTGACCGGGGCCTAGGCACTAGGCACTGCCCACTCGACAGCGCTCGGGTCTTCTGCTGATCAGCGCCTAGGCACTGCCCCTAACACCAAGGTGCTGTCCTCTCAGGGTTGCACGGAGAACTCTGATTTTGCATAATTTTTTCTGGTACTCTTTCACAGCAAGTCCTTGCCACGAACGACATGGACTTACAGACTCGATTTACAGCATTAAACACCCAAAACAATGGGCATTACATTGATTGAATCAACGGAAAAGCTGTAAATATAATGCCAAAAATAAAAAAACATCTATTTTGTGAACCACATACATCAAATGTAGAAAACAATGCCCACCTTTCTTTTCTATATAATTAAAAAACAAGATCGAAAGCATAATCAGGGCTCTGATACAGATTGAAGGGATCAAATCCCACAGCGAAAGTGCGAGAACGCTTGTGCTTCGATTTTGTTTAAGAAATACGACAAAGAAAATACAAAAGCATTATTAAAAATTGAAGTAGTGAAACATACATTTGAAGACACTTCTTCAAAAATGACGATGTCGAACCTGACTTTTGAAAGTGAGGGAAGTTTGGATTTGAGAGAGATAACTTTAGAGAGTTGTGGTTTTTCAACAAAAACCCCAAAACACATCATCCATCCTAAAGGGAACACTTATTTACTCCCCTAAAGTCAGAGAGGAGTGAATTCTATCTTGTCAAGTTATGTTTCGAGCTCCCCACTCGGTATCGTCCCTAAAATGGTAGTAATCTCGGGTCCGTGACTCGGGTCACTCTCACCCATTCAAATCAAAGAACGAGACTTAACATGCACGAGTCCATAACTCCCTCAAAATTGAGATCAAGTTACATGATCAGCCGATTAAAATATTAATCTATTAGCCAACGATGTTTATTTTTCTTTTTCTTTCCCCCACTCTTATTTTCTCCCAAATCTCTTTATTTTTCAACTTGATTTTTTTGTCTTCTTTTGGACTATTTTTTCATACTCCTTTTCAAAAAAATGTTTACTTGCGTATGACTCTTTTCTACATATGACACTTTTATTGCTTGCATTTTCTTTCTGACTATTTTTCAAAACATAAAAGCATTTTCTTTCTTAAAACAAAAAGACAAACATTGTCCCCCCCAAACTTAAGGGAAACAGTGTCCTGACTGGGGAAAGAAATTTTGAAAGATGTAAAATTTCGGCACCAAAAGGAAATTACTTCCAAAGCAATGAAAAAGTTTAGGTTACAAAACAAAAAGAAGAAGAACACACGTTTATAACCAAAACAAAAAGTGGAAAATGACTTATGGCTTTATAATAAAACTAGGAAATCCAACCCATTCATGACGTTAATTATACTCATTGACATAATACAAAAACAAAGAACAAAGGAAAACATTTCATAAAAAAGATGAGCATGTTTAGAGTTTAGAAAAGATGCTATTGAAGAAACTAAGGACAAACTCGTAGCTAGAACAAGGAAGTAGGCAGGCTTGAACTTTAAACATATGCAAGAACACAACTTATAAACATTTCTAACAACACAATATCCCAACAACCAACTTATAAGAAAAACTAATCTAAACGACCTATCATGCAAACTAGAAGAACAAAAACAACCTACACAACATAACATGCAAACTAATCAAGATCTAAGTATCAAAGCAAAGAGAGGGAGATACTCCCTTAATCATCATCTAAAGATTCATTGTCGGTGGAATCAGTAGGAAGACAGGAAAAAGAGGGTAAGTCGGCCGCAAGCTCATCGGGGAAAGAAGGTGCATTATCACCGTATATCTTCTTGAGGAACTCACATATGGCATGTTGAGTAGCAAAAAGAAGCTCGTACTTGTGCCTAAGCTCGTCATATTGCTCCCTAGTTACCACTCCTAGGGTCTCGGGATCCATGGTAGTAATGAGAGAGTCTTCGTCTCGAACAATCGAATACCCCCGAACTTTTCTTAGGGATGTGACCAGCTTCTTGGGCGTCACTACATTCACATCATCGGCCTCCACTCCCACCTGCAAACATAACTCAGTTATTAGTCCAGGAAAAACAAGAGGACCTACCATTTTCTCCGAGCAACTTCGTATCTCATTTCTTATGAGTTCTCCAAAATTTAACTCAACACCCTTCATCAAGATGTACACCATCATCGCCCTGTTGCACTTAATGGAGGAATCGTGAGTAGTGACAATCAACCGGTTCTTCACCACCTACATCCAAACCGTTGCTTGTTCATTGATGTCGAGGGGCTTTAGGGAAAGCTTCCCCGTTGTTGAAACGGTCCATGTCTTGCGTGGTTTACAAATATGCCGACGCGCCTCTTCCACTTGCTCGTTCGATGGATGCACCAAAATTTCATTACCTATGACATTAAACACATCAAACAAACCATAGTGAATGTTAATAATGGAAGGCGAGAACTTTACCACTTTACCCCTAACTATCGCTACATCTCCTCAAGTAGCTCTTCTGACCCTCTTATCACCCTAGCCCTCTTGGATTTTCTAGATGGACAAGTCTCGACCTCTTTTTGGGCAGCCAAACGTGCTACAGCGGCTCGGTTTCTCGTCCTGGAAATTACGTCAGGCACAGTTTCTGCAACATTTTTCTTCTTTCGTGTTTTCTTCACCACTTCTGTGTCAAGCACACCTCCTCCTCTGAGATTTCTTCAGTAGCAACAAATTTAGGGTCAGAAACATTCAAACTTGATAAAGAAAGGACTTACCTTTAGAAGAAGAAGATGAAGAGAATTCTTCCATGGCGTCATTATGGACATCCAAATGACCTAATATTCCTTATTGCTCTTATGCAGGGGCTCCTCATTATCTTTCTGAGATTCATGCACCAGAGTTCATATTCTTACTTCATATTGAGAGATATCGTCATTTTCTTATTCCTCCTCATACTCATCTCCATGCACTTCTTAGGGTAATTCTCCAATATCTTTATCTTCTCCCTCAACATCCAATCTTTCGTGTGTTGCCCCATTAATTCCATCATCATCCAATGGAACCTCTCCACTTGATCATTCAAAGCCACCAAAATTTCGGCATGTTTCGATGTTGTCCTTTCCTGTTCTGAATCATAAAAAACTAGGAGTTTTTAGTCAAGATAGGATATGGAAAAGATTGAGACAAAATACCTTGTAGAGTGGCCGGTGGAGTAACCCCAAAAATTGTGCCAACCGTAATTTAGTAGTGAATTTCAACCGTGGCTGAATCTGAATGCTCCAAAGGCTCTGTGCCGTGTTTTGAGTCTCCACTAACCTGTTAATGACCTTCAATATTCATAGCAATAGTAGCGGAAATAGGGGGAGGGATAGATACTTATAAAAATTCAGAAACAGGGTAATCTTTAGAGGAATTCAACCTACGGTGCATACTCATACTATTTAACTCAAGTTGAATCTCATCACTCACTTTTCTTAAGTTTTCCATGAATTCTTTCCATTTTATGTTTAGTTCTTCAATCTTAGCACAAATACCCTAGTTCTCTTTATCCCTAATTTCTTTCTTTTGATTTTCAATGTCCACTCCGTTTGGGGATTAAGTACCCTGGACACGTGGAGGACCCCTATTGGTGCTCCAAGATGGCCCATGAGTCATGCCTAGCTCGGATAGCTGAGATGGCTGCCACCAACGCCGGCGAGAGCTAAGTATGAGGGCCGAGGTGAACCTGGCTCAGGTCCGACCTGCCCAGAGGCTCGGTAGGGGCCAATGTGAGCAACTGTCTACGGCGTGATTACCGGACGTAAC